GGGCGTGACTCACGAAGCGGGGCTCTCCCCTCAGGACCCGTGCGGGGGCAGCCCGGCGGGCTGGAGCCGGTGAGGCGGCGGGCCGGGGCCGGGGGCAGAGGGCGGTGGCGCTGAGGGCTGCGGGGCGCTCACGGTGGGTTCTTACGGTTTTTATTTCGTTGCAGGAGCGCGCAGGTGCCGCAGGGGAACCAGCGCGGGGCGTGCCCGGCGGCGCCCAGCGGTGAGTGAGGGGCGCTGAGGGCTCGGCAGGCCCGGGGCTTCATTTCTCTGATTATTGTCCCGGCTCCGTGACCTTGCTCCTGGCGAACAGATAAAACAGTGAAACTTCAGCTAGAGAAGCGCCTCTGACGAGATTTCAGTGCGCGGGTTGGATTTGTTGCCGAGCTTCTCTTTGTGCCGAGCGCTAAATAGAAATTCCGTGTCCAAGCAAGCTGCCCTAAACTGGTTACGTAACTCTGGGCTTAAGTCTTGTGATAAGATCCCTACCGCGGGTAACCTTTGTAGCCATAAAATGGCTGCCACTCCAGGGACAGCCATTTTAATTATTAATTTAGAGACGTAAGTGCCGTGTCCTGTGCGAGTCACGGCCGCTGGATCATCTCCCGGCTTTTGCACGGAGCGTTTTTAGCAGCAGCTTGTTGAGTGCGCTGCTGGGATGTGTGGAGCTGTGTGCCGCGAGTTCCATAGCGAGATACAGGCAACATCTCAGCTGCCTTACAGTTACAAGGTAGTTTCGTTTTGGAGTATCCAACGAGGAGGAATTGTAGCAAAAAACTTAATGTGTACTAGGCTGGAAAGCAAATGGTTATTTTGTATCATAGATGCAATGGCTCCTGTGTATTTAGGATGATAAAATACCTGGAAAATTCTTTTCAAGAATGTCAAGATTTTCCTATTTTTTAGAGGGAAAAAAAGGTGTTGAGCAAGGAATTACACTTAAAGCCCACACAGACCTCTCTCCAAAATTCCATGCAGAACTACTCATGGTTTAAACTGAAAGTTTTATTTTTTCACACAGCTTTGTGTTTCAGTTTTGTGGCTGACTGCAGGCGAGTGTTCAGTGTTAGTGGAAGATGGCTGGGGGTCGTTGGGGTGTTGCATTCCTTGTATTTCAGTTTTATGATTGCCTGCAGGAGAGGGAGTTGCAGTGTTCAGTGTTAGTGGAAGATGGCTGGGGGTCGTTGGGGTGTTGCATTCCTTGTGTTTCAGTTTTGTGGCTGACTGCAGGAGAGGGAGTTGCAGTGTTCAGTGTCACTGGAAGATGGCCGGGGGTTGCTGGATTATCCCTGGTTGTTGCTGAGGAAGTGCCCATGAACGCTGACCTTCCCTCTCCCCCCACAGGAACAGAGACGGGGCACTGCAGAGCCGCAGCCACACCCGAGGGCGCGCAGAAAGGGCAGACGGCCGCCGTGACGGAGTTCATGGACGACCTGAGCCTGGGCTCGCCGGGCCACGGCGACTCGTCCCGGCGCAGCTGCAGCCGCTCCTCGGGCCGCTCGTCGTGCAGCTCCCGCTCCAGCAGCAGCTCCTCCAGCCGCTCCTCGCGCAGCTGGAGCCGCTCCCGGTCCCGCTCCCGGTCCCGCTCCCGGCGGCACGGCTCCCGGCGCTCGCGGCGCCGCTCCCGCTCCTACTCGCGCAGCCGCTCGCGCTCCCGGCGCTACCGCGGCCGCTACCGGCCCCGGCGCTACCGGCCCCGCCGGCGCCGCTCCCGCTCCTGGTCCCGCGGCAGGGCCTGCTACCGGCGCTCCTACTCGCGCAGCCGCTCCCGCTCCCGGGGCCGCCGCTACTACGGCTTCGGGAGGAGCGTCTACCCCGAGGCCTACCGGGGCTGGAGGAGCCGCTCCCGCACGCGCTCGCGGAGCCGGTCGCCTCTGCACCTCAGTGAAAAAGGTACTTGGGGCTCTGCGAGGCTTCTCGCTGCGAGAGCCCGCAAAGAGGCTTTGTTTGAGCCAGGCGGGTTCTCCTCGGCTTGCTTGGTTTGAAAAGCACAAGTGAAAAAAACCTCAGCTTTTTAATAAAGATTGTTCTTCAGAACGTTAATTGGCACAGGGGGGCAGGCTGTGATGAGATCGGTCCCAGATGATGAGTGCATAGATGTCAAACCTGCAGGATTCAGGCTTGAGTAGGTGCACGTGGATTTTAATGTGACACAAAGCACTTTTTCTCTTCCTTCCTCTTCTAGACAAGAGGGAACTGCTGGAAATTGCAAAAGCCAATGCTGCCAAAGCTCTGGGAACAGACAACATTGTCCTGCCAGCGAGCCTGAAGATCTCTGCTCCTGCCAAGGAGATCAAAACTGAGAAGCAGGCGCGTGAGGAAGCCACGGAGTCAGCTGAGGTAAGTATGGAGTGTTCTGACAAGGTAAACACCTCTTAGACTTGTCTGCATGGCTGTGCTGTAGTTCAGCTGTGGAGCTTGTGCTTTATGAGCTCAAACTCCTGAACAAAAACTTGTCCAGAAACCTCGAGGCTTTGCCCTAAGCTGGCAGCAGAGGCCCTCTCTGAGGTGGCTGATCCCCTGAGTGTCCAGTAGGGACAGCTGGGGAAGGGGAGGAGACTTGTTCCTTCGACTTGTTCTCCTCATGGGATATTTCCCATGAATTCCACTAGTTTATGCTTTTCTGACCTAAAACCAGGACTATCCTTGCCAAACCTAGTGAATAGTGTGGGATTATTTTTTTTAAGGTTAAATCTTTCTGCCTTTTTTAACTGTTAAAAGATTTTCATGTGCAACAAACTGTTTCCCAGAAATTCCATACCCAAGCACACAATGCATTTTACATACTTTATTTCTGTCTTATAGAAATCATGACTATGGTTCCAGACATGAGGAAGAAAATCTGGTGGTAATTAAGGGACTTGTGGGCTGTAGCTGCTGTGAATTGAAGGGAGGGAGAAACTGGAGCAGCTTAAAGTGAATTTTAGTTTGGTTCTGTCGTGGTGTGTTACCCTGAGGCACAGTAAATACAATACAGTAAATACAGGCAGCCACTGCCTGCCTCAGGTGCTGCTCGTGGAAAGGGACGTGAATTTGCTGAGGGTTTGACACAAACGGTGCAGGCATCCCTTTCATAAACATATGCAATATATTCCAGATGTTGAGAGAGTACAGAAGAAGAGGCCTGCATCCCTTGCAGATAAGTTTACTGTTGTTCTCCAAAGCCCTGCAGGATGGGTGTGCAGTGTCACCACTCTGCTGTGGCAGCTTCTGCTGTGACTTGGGTCCTCTCTGGGCTCTGCTGGGCTGGAGCTGCCTCCATTGGCACGGGAGCAGCTCGGCTGGCACTGGCACAGCTGCCCTGGGCAGAGGCTGCCAGCCCTGCCTGGGCTCTGCCCTGCCTGGGCTCAGCCCTGCTGTGCTGTGGCTTCACAGCCACTTCAGATGAAATAGGGAACAGTCCCAGAGAGCTCTGCTCTGACTCCTGCCCTGCCCCAGGGAGCCCCTCTTAAGCTGTGTCTGCTCTTCTTTAGCAACCCGGGAGTGCAGCTGAGGACGTGAGCAAGGCTGGCATGGAGAGAGCAACCATCCAGAGGAGCATTTCCTTCAGCCCTAATGTGAGTGATGGAATCCCTGAGTAACGACAGGAATTTAATGTTTGCTCATGATATCCCTGCAGGAGTTGGTAAGAGCACCTGGATACACCTCAGCAGTGTGTTGGAAATAAGTGTTCACCTTCAACCCGAACAATTCAAAACTAGAACTAGTTTAAAACACAGCTTATATCGAGTTTCATGTTTTAGTAATGCAAACTTAAGATGTGGGGATTTCTCCTGTGTTTTGTGCATGGGATTGATACCTAGTATAGGCATCAGGTATTCCAGGAGCTGGAGAGAAAACATTTATATGATTTATATGATAAACCCCTTGCTTCCAGCACCTTTTCTTACAGGAAATGTCTTTTTTTTTTTCCCCAGAACACAATGGCCAAGCCTGCCCTGCAGAAGCCAGTGAGCCACGCTGTGGCTAAGGAGCCAGTGGTTTCTCCAGCCAGGGAGGAGGACAGGAAGGGAAGCCCCTATGGGCAGTGGGTTCCTGTCAAGAAGGAGAAGAAAACATTCCTGAACTTCTCACCCAAAAGCTCCCTGTTCCGGGCACGCTGAGGGGAGGCACTGTCAGACTGCAGCACTGGGCACCCCTCAGCAGAGACTTGGAGATTTCTGATGGGCTTGAAGACTTGTTAATACTGAGTATTTATTTTGAGGTCTTAATTTTTGGAATCTTAGGTTTCTCTTTCAGATAGAGAGAGCACACAGATCCAGAAGCCACAGATGGGAATCTTGTGTATATTTGTAAATATTTTATATTGCTTTATTGGACTAGAACTTGCAGGTGGGTAACTTTTTCTAAACCATAGTTGCGTAGCTGTTCTTTGAACACCTGGATTTACCTTGTGCAATTGTTTACTTCAAGTGAATAAAGTTTAGTTTTGCACTGGCTGTGTCAGGTGTTAGGCCCGAGTTTCTGTGGTTATTTGTGGGTTTACCTTGCACTCCCCAGCTCACTCTGGCCGTGGGTCCTGCCTCTTCCTTCCCTGGGTGCTCTCTGGAGCGGGGATTGTGTGGGATTTCAGCTGCCTGCCCCAGGAACCGTGGCCATTCCCAGTCACTACAGGGTTTATTTTACTGGTTTGCTTTAGATCAGCCTCCCTGAGAGGCAGGAAGGGAAAAGGGGCAGGAGAAAGTTCAGGAAGGCAAGGAGCTCTTGCATTTTGGGGGTAATTGGTAAAACTTGGGTTTTGTATAAACAAATTGTTAGTAAAATAAATGGAATGGGCTAATGTCTGGAAGCTTCTTTCAGAGACCCTTGAATGGGGGGAGGATCCTGTGTTTTATCCTCTCCCTGTGGGTGAGGCTGGACAGGGGCAATCCCACCTTGGAATTGCTGCCAGGGGGGGAATCCCACCTTGGAATTCCTGAGGGACAGGGGCGAGCTGCCTTTCCACCGGAATATCACTCTGCTCTTCATTCTGCTGGCACACAAACCTGTGGAACCTACACAGCTCCCAAGTTAGACCAAAGAGTTTATTTAGAGCACAGCAGGCAGAACCTGGCTCCTCCTGCAGCCAAAGCTCTTCACAGCTGAATTCTGCAAATTGTCCACTACAATAAACACCACGGAGCTGACAGAGCAACAGCTAAAAATCTACTTTGGATACAATTTACAATGGAAAATGGTGACAGAGGAGACAGGAGAGAGCTGGGCCAGGCAGGCTCACAGGGCCCAGGCTGTTTGAGCTGAGCTGAGCTTAGCCAGGCTCACACAGCCCAGGTTCAGTTTGATCTGAGCTGAGCTGTGCCAGGCTCACAGGGCCCAGGCTCTTTGAGCTGAGCTGAGCCAGGCTCACACGGCCCAGGCTCACAGCGCTGAGCTGAGCCAGGCTCACACGGCCTGGGCTGTTTGAGCTGAGCTTAGCCAGGCTCACACAGCCCAGGCTCGCTGAGCTGAGCTGAGCCAGGCTCACACGGCCGTGCCCCTCTCCAGGTTCTGTTTGATCTCGGCCGTGTATTTCCCGTAGAACCTCTCTGCCTTCTGGTTGAACTTGGCGTTCCTCTCGTTGATGTAGTCGATGTCGGCGTCGTCGTTGTAGGGCCGCCTGCGGCTGTACTTGTCCCTCTTCTCGATCCTGGGGGCAGCAGGGGCTGAGCCCGGGGCTGCAGCACCCCCAGCCCTGCCCTCCCTCCCCTCTCTGCCCGGTACTCACTGCTTCTCCAGGTCTGCCACCATCCTGTCCACGCCCTCCTTGGAGGGCACGTGGGTGCCGTGCAGGAGGCTGTCCGAGGTGGGGTACAGGGCGTCCCCGCTGTGGGCAGAGCAAGGGGCAGCACGTTCACGCCTGGGAATCCCAGGGAGCACCTTAAAGCCCAGCCAGTCCCAGCCCTGCACCTCCCACCACCCCAAATTGCTCCAAAACCCATCCAGCCTGGCCTTGGACGCTTCCAGGGATCCAGGAGCAGCCACGGCTGCTCTGGGAAATCTCCGCCAGGGCTTCCCCACCCTCACAGGGAACAATTTCTTCCCAATATCCAACCTAAATCTCCCCTCTTTCACTTGGAACCCCTCATCCCTTGTCCTGCCCCTCTGTGTCCTTGCGATTTCCCTGCTTCTGCCCGAGTTCCACTGCCACACCTCACGCAGCTGTGGGAACCCCAGAGTCAGATGACATTAAATGTCAGTACTAAACCCAACAGAGAGACCAGCAGGTGCCTCTGAGAGACACAGAACCCCCCAGAAATGCTCAAACTGGACAAGTCTCAGTCCTTACAACCCTGCTCCAGAAGTGCCTGGTGACGCACTGAAACGTGACCTAAGCGCTTGGGCACTTCCTCCAGCTCAGCAGCAAATGAACTCATTAATTACCCCAGCAGCCCTCCCGAAGCAGGGGCAATTAACGAGGTTCATTCCCGGGGCGGGGAGCAGGACTCACTGCTGCTCCTTCAGCCGCTCGTACTGCTCCAGGTCGGGTTTGATCTGCCGGGTCAGGCGCCGGTACTGGCGCAGCTGCGCCGCCGCGTAGTCTGGGGAGAGACAGCGTCTGCTGGCCTGCCTGCAGGCCTTACCTGCCCCTCTGCATGCTTCACCTGTTTTCTGGTTTTATTGCATGATTTTACCTATTTTACAGCATTATTTTATATTTTTATAGCATGATTTTACCTATTTTACAGCATTATTTAATATTTTTATACCATTATTTTACCTATTTTACAGCATTA